AGTATTAAATGTCACAAATTAAAATGAAATCTGATCAAAATAAAATTTTTCTGTTTTTTAAAGAAAATTTTAAATTTTTATGTAATATTTTTTGGGGTTCTTTTTAGCATTAGGGTAGAGTTTAGAGTTAGATTTATTAATAAATAAGTATATTTAAGTTTTATAGGCTCTAAGGGCGGGCATAAGAGGTCATAAGTTTTATTTTGATCAGATTTTATTTTAATCTGTGACATTAAATATTGTTATTATTATTTGGGCATAGTAGTATATGTGTTGTATTTTTGATATTTAAGCAATAGAAGCAATTTGAAGTGGTGTATTATTAGATCAATATACATATTTATAAACAAAAAAAAGCAACAGTCAGGTCTTTGAGTAAAATAAGTAAGACAATTAATAACAATACTTAGTAGAGAAGTGAGGCAGATAACAAATTAGTATAAGTCTAAAGCATCTAATAAGTATCTTTAGATAAGTATTTTAATATAATTTTAAAAGAATTTGAATTTATTTTAAAGGCTTTTATTAACAACAAATTTTTGTATAGAAGACAAATTATATATACTTGAATTATTGTAAAGTACTGATAATAATTTGACAAAAGAAATTCAACCTCTTATTTATAATAAAATTACAGAGCAAAAAAATGAACAAGATCAAATGTTTTTCTCATTATTTGTTATTAAACCATCATTAAACTCAAGCTATTTAACCCTTTTCTGGTCTAATTTTCAACCTTTATACAGCTATTTCTTTAAAGTATTCAATAGAATAAAAAAAAAGATAAAAAGAAAATAAGTTAAATAAAGGCTTTTATATAACTTTCATATAATTAGCATTTAGTGCTTTAATAAAAAGGGCCTAGCTTTAACAAGTTTGCTTCAGTGTCTAAAATTTAATTTTTATTTAGTTGTGGGCCACAACTAAATAAAAAGCTTTACTTGTAGATTATATGGATTTAGTTGGACATATGAATATATTATATGCAAATTTGAATATATTTATATACAAATCTACAAAATTATTTGTAAAATTAACATAAATATATTAGATTTTAGTTGCAAAAATTTATAATCATTTGTGGTTCACAAGCTCTACAACCCAATTTTAGACACTGGTTTGTTTGTATATATTCATTGTGTGAAAATTGTGAGATCTGAGATATTATAATGCAATAGCTTTTTGTATAATAATTTGTGTATCTAATGTACATTATTCTGCTGATTTTGAAATTCTGTAAGTATATAATTTTGCCAATAACAATTCTTTTCATCTTAATTTTTATATTCTATGAAAAATCTAATGCATTAGTCTTTATGGTTATCTGATCATATGATTCTTTTTAAAGTGCAGTAAAATTTTTTTTTAACTACTAATATAAAAATCAATATACTATACTAAAAATTAATACAAAAACTAAAAAAAAACTAAAAATTAACAATATCATATAACTAAACAAAAGAAAAAGAAGACAACTACAAAAAATCACATCTACGTTTAAAATGAAGGGTCAAATCTTTGCTATACACTTTTAACTCATATATAACTGTTGTGCATATTTATATACAATTTAAGATACAAATTTTTTTTTTCTAATTTATTATTAAAAACATTTGTTTATTAATTATCTTTTTAAAATTTTTACTAGAGTTGAATATCTGTATGTTTTATAATGACAGATATAAAAGACCTCTTTTGACTAGATTTATTATAATGAGCCAAGTTTTGTTTGCTTTTAATTTTTTTTTTTGTAGTTAAGATTAGCCTCTTTGGCTCGTTGCTTTTATTAGATTATAAAATTATGTGGTGCTCTTTTCAAGAGGGCCTCAGACAAGTACATTCTGACGAGTATACATTCTAGCCATAATTGTGCCTTTTAGCACCTAATTAAGTAGCTACCTATTACTAAGTACTACACTAGATACTGTACCTATAATCCACTATTATTTGATTACCCAATTAAACCCTCTGATCTGAGTTTCTTATACCAATCCATCTAACCTCACCTAGGACATGCAATATATTAGTCAGTCCAAGTTCTAGAATCATCACAGACTACCTATAGAACTACTGGTATAGATAACTGATTCATCCTCGAGTACATCATCTGCTAGAGAAGTTTGATACCCACTATTACCGTATTATCTAGTCTATTTCAGTAACTTACATCTAGGCTGAGACCAAGTACTTGTGAGCTGAAGCCACTACCATTACCTACTCAGCCCTTTTAGAGTTCACCCAAACCTTGGCACCTTCTCTTCAAGACAACCTAGTACCTTCTCTTGCAGTACCCCCTAGCTGGTCTTTCTGGACTACCAATCCAAATGGCCCAGAAAGGACACCAGTCTTTTTCTCCAGTTGACCTGGCAGCCTAGTTGGTGGAATAACTTGCCGGTACTCTTGCCTTGTTCAGTTCTCCAACCTTGGGTGGAGCCTATTCCAGTAGGCTCTGTCGAAAGCTTGTGCTACCTTTCTATTCAGGTCTTTCCAAGCAGGCTTCCTATAGCACCATTTATCGGATTTACAAAATCTGAGGACTTATTATAAGTTTACACCACCTTACCGATTTTGTATCCTCTTTATGCAACTTGTACATTACACAAATGTCTTGAGATTTCCCTTAGATTGACTCAATAGTGCAATAGATATTCTTTCTATATAAGGTATGACCAATATTACAGGATCTTCTTCCCAATATATGAGAGAGTTGCCATTACACAAAAGAATTCAATTTTTCGCCATCGGTAGGAATTGAACTCTAGATATGCTGCTTGAGGAGTGATAACCCAACCACTTCACTAAGTTGCCATACCCTTTGTTTGTTTTTAATAATCTGATTTCTTTCTTATTTTTATTAAACAATTCTTTTGGAATCTCAATTTTTATGATATATATATTCTGCAGCCTTTGCTTTTATCTCTATTGACTTTAGCAAACCTTTGTATAACTTGATTGGAAGTGATTTTAAGAATGCAAAATTATTCAGATGTGAAATCTTCATTTTTAAAATAGTTCATATTCCAATAACAAAGTTCACTAGGGTCAAATTGTCCATCTACTTTATTACCTTTAGCATCTTCTTAGTACTATTTACATAATTTATTCTTTTTTTGACAAGTTTTATTATACTAGATCTTTTTACTATACATGTAATCATCTAGATTTTACTAATCTTTTTCGTCTATTTTCCACATACATGTTGCAGAGCTTCTTTTTTCAAGAACCTTTTAGATAAAAAACTATTTACTTTTTTATTACTACTGTCATCATCAACCAATATCTTGTGATTACTTTTGTTATTAGTTTCTAAGCTTTTAAGTGAGTTTTATATTTTTTTCCTTTTTCTAATCCAATTTATGTAGTTTCAACTTATTAATAGCATTTACTTTAATCTTTTTAGCTCCAATTTCTTTCTATAGTTGAGTTCAATTAGATATATTCTATTAGTATCACCTATATTTGCAGACTTTTGATAATAAATAAATATATCATAATCATTCTTTTTGATACTAATTCTATTTTAGTAGCAAGGTTAAAGTTAATTTTATTAGTGAAATTATCTGTGAGAATACTACAGAACTTTTGTGATTGTATTAAAGATTTTATAAACTTCAATTCATTACAAAGATAATTGTTGAGAATATTTGGTTCTTGAACATTATCTTTTCTACTATTACAACTCATTTCTGCTGAGTTTTAGTAAGTGAAGGCCTTGGGTTAGCTTTTTTAACTCTAATTCTATTATTTTCATCTTTTTTGACTTTAGTTCCACTCAGCTTTTTACTTTCAGCAGGTTTTAAACACCATTCTTTATCCTTTCAATGCTATTTTCTTTCAGAGGTTATAGATAATTTCTTTTTTTTTGTCAGAAAATAGATACAGAATATAGGTAAAATTTTTTAGATCACATAATCAATTGATCTTTGGTCTTAGGATCAGTTAAATATTATTTCAATAATTTTAAAATATTTTGATAATTTTTGCGAATATTTTGATAAATTTCAATTATATTAAATCAAACTGTTTTGCATTGGAATACATCATATTCATTATTTTAAGTGATTCTTTGCTCAAATTATGCTGATTATAAGCCAAAATAATATTATAAACTGAGAAGCTACACTTGATAGCACAAGATAAAATCAGAAGCTAAATATAATCTAAAGCTATTTCATTTAAAAGAGGAAGCATTGGGAATATCTTTTTTCAAAAAATTTCAAGATTTGAATATTCAATTTCAATCAGTTCTAAATTACAGTATAAACTCTATTCTTGAAGCTAAGATACTGAAAAATTTAAATTTGAGGAATATCAGTAATATACTTTTGAATATCACAATTTGCTACTACTAATTTAAAATAATAGAAATCAAAAATTTGAACAGCTTTGAACAGCTTTAAACAAACTTCTAGATAGATGATTAGATAAATAAATCAAAAATTTAGAATGCGCAACTTTATATATAGCTCGAAATACAAATTCAAAAGTAGAAATAGTAGTGTTAAATTTTTTAAGAACTAAATTAATATTAGAATCAAAATTAAAAGAAGTTATACTATTATATAGATAAGTTTCTAATTGCTAAATGTGGTTTTCTATAAATAGAAAATTTGGTTTATATTTATTTTGAAAAAAAATTTAAATCAAATATAAATTGAAGTGTATGAAAATAAATAAATGTAAGATATAATTTAATTAAACCTCTAGTATTTAAATTTGAAAAAAGATTAACAATAAAATTAATGACGACACCAGGGCGGCCCCCCTGAAGTTTGGGTTGATGATCGACATCTTGCCGCAGCTATCGCAGCATATAATTTAATTACAATCCTGATACATAATCATATGAGCAACACAAAAAACTTCATTTATTTTTTGAATCTTCAAACTCTAATAAATTTAATTCTTTACTCTATTACAATAATAGAATTTGATGCAATTATAATTATATATGGTACTGCGATAGATATTAAAGAAAAACAAATAAAATAAAAAGGCAAATGGCTTTCTTTAAAGAAGAAAATAACGAATTATACCATGTAAATCTCTAGTTTTATACAGGCCTTAGGTTGGTGAGTCAAGTTTTTTTTTATATTCTTATTGATTGTCTATAGAGAGATACCTCGTATGAAATAATCTAGTATACAGTTCAAACAGTGCGACGTGCACGAAAAGAACTCAAAAAGAAATTTGTCATGGTTTTCATTAATTTAATTAATTATTATGAAGATATTTATAGGAATGATGATAAATATGAATGAACATGAAAGTCATAATTTTGGTTCAAACAATCTAGTTTTTTGTTATTTTAAAAAATGTTATTTACAATTGAATACTGGACCACGTTTGTGAAAATACAATAATTCTTACCTTAAATCTTACAATAAATTTGGCTTTAATGAAATAAGAACTTCTTGTAAGAATTAATTTTTTTGAAATTTACTTGACTTCGATAAAAATACATTGACTAATTCTACTTTTTTACAGAAATTCAACTCTGACTTTCTTGAATCTTGAACAAATTGAGATCTGAAGACGAAAAGATTATTGCCAAAGTTTTACAGAAATTTATTTCTAAATCTTAATGATAATCAATTCGGCCTGAAGGTGAAAAATTCATTATTGAAGGAATATTTATATTTTGTGTTTAAAAAAAAAAATTGGCGCAACTTTTTAATTAATAAAATATATTGTTTTCTCATTAAATAATACACATTGTTATTTTTTATTAAAATATGTTTATTATTTATTAATTTGTTTATACGAAGCTACATATATTTAAACAATGTTCTGATTAGCAAATAATAACTCAATTGCATATTATATTAAAGATGGGATGTTCGTTGATTTCTTACTTTATATCAAATTGCACTAATTCATCTGCACCTCTATTATTATGTATTTAATTATTGTTTCTACCAAATTTATTATTCGAAACTCTATATTATGTTTAACTCAAATTGAATTAATGCACGCTCTCACATTTTAACAAATTATTATAAAATACTATTTCTAAACTTTCTTACAATTCATTTGAGAAATTATCTAGTTTTTCAGAAGCCGTATAAAATTGGTAATCGGAATTTATGAATAGAAAAAATTATAAAAATAGTACTATTAAATTTTACTATAAAGAAGAAAAAATTGTATCAATTTGTAATATTATTAAAATAAATAAAGCAGGGGCATTGTTTAAAACAAATTTCTAACATTATCTTTTGTTATTATTAATGATGAGGCTAGGAGAGATTAAAAATTAAAATATTACATGATGTAATCTATTAAAGAATTTTGATTTTTAATCAATTGTTAAATGTGACAATTAATTTTTAACACCTATAGTCACAACACGAGTTATTACTATCATTTTTATTCGAATCTACCTTTTTTCATATTATCTATTTTAAAGTAGTTTTTATGTATTCTTCCTCTTAATCAATTTCGAAACCCATTTTCTCTACTAACTACATGGCGGCGAAGCATTGTATATTCATACCTTATTTAAAAACCAAGTACTTCCCATCATGAGTGATATTCTAATATTCGTTTGAGTTCAAGACCATAGCTATACAACCCAAAATCTTAGACTTTCAAGTTTCGCATTCAAACCTTAGCCGTATTAGTTGCCTAAAATGAAGTATTGTATTGGGTATAAAACTGATCGTTCAGATGATCTTTTTGTATGAGATGGGCATCACAATAAAACATGCATTCAATGCAAAAAAAATCATGATCGAAGAAAAAATAAGAATCTTCAAACCACAATCGAGAATCCTACTAATCAAGTCGAATCAGTTGACCAATTTGAAGCTTCTGGTCAACAAACAGAGCATGTTGATTGTGCTGGATGTGTTGAGGTTGATTTTCATGAAGTTGGTGATTTTATCGCAAATGAGATCCAAGAACTAACAGCAAAAATAAATGTTGACGAGGTAGCCAATATGGTCTATAAGACTTATTTATTAATAAAAATAAATGTTGATACTCAAAATATGACGGCAAAAGAAATTGCAGAACTTATCATTATTGAAATAGAAGGCGGAGATGATTATTCTTGGATGTAAGCTAATTTACTAATTTTTCATTTTTATTATTTTATTGTTATTATTTTTTATTTTTTCTCGGCATTCAGTTTTTTCCATTCGATCCATGAACACTTTTTTTCTTCTTTTTTTCTTTTTTAACTACCCATATTGTCAAAGCTATTAAGAGGCAGAATCATCAAAAAAATTTGGCAATACAGTGTGCAAGTTCACATATTTGTGTTGCCAATCAAGAAAAGTTCAAAGTAAAGAGTACAAAGACTCTAATCGTAAGCAGTATGAGCACTACAACTGAAAGGGAAAAATTACTTTACAGGTTGATACAGTTCTTGATATCACCAAGATAAATATTCGCTATGAGTCTCTTCACAAACACCCAGATCTTTGTGTAGAAATGCCAAACAAATTACATGAAGAGATTAAAAAATATGCACATCTCACCACAGCCCAGTTAATAACCCATCTACGGCATTAGGATTTTGATGTTTCTAAATATTCGCACAAATGTATATATTATTGGAAAACGATAGCAGGCCGAAACATATATCAACGCCACAATGATCCAGTCGAATCTGCGCGTATATTGCTTGGTGAATATAGAAATCAAGATTTTCACCAATGCTTGAACATACACGATCAAGACTCTATGGCCATTGCTTTCACAACCCCATTGTTAAAGGAAATTAATAATCTTAATATTCCTGTTAGTGAAGTTTATATTGACGCGACATATAAAACAGCACATGGGCATTTTGAGCTCTATAGTATTGTTGCTGATGTTGATGGTGCTGGTTTTTCATTAGCTTACCTTATAATGGACACAACAAAAGCAACAGATACTAGTACTAACATGGGAAAATGTCGTATCTTATTAGAAAGTTTTCTAGAAGCCGTGAAGTCATATAATATCAATCCAAATTTCGTATTTACTGATAAGGACTTCGCAGAAATAAATGCTGCATCAAATGTATGGGGAGCTTCAGTAATTCAGTTGTGTTATTGGTATATGAACTGTGCAGTAAAACGTAAACTTGAAGAAAAAGCAAAATCGTCTCGTAATGGTGGATTAATAATTGTAAATTATGATGTTAGTCAAGCGACTAGTGAATTTGACTTTATTGATTCTACCTTTTACTCAACGGAGAAAAATCGTAATCCACAGTCAAATGTTATTTGTCCACCTACATTTAGAGAAAAAATTTTAGAGTTGGTAAGAACATTAATTATAATATAATAGTCACACAATTTGGCACATCCAAAATTTTATCATATGATTTTCATAAATTACACAAATTGACGAATTTACATTTTTTAAATTTTCGTCCAAAACCTTAACTACTGTATATTATGTTTCTTAAAACAAACTTGTTGCTGAAGTTTTCACGAATTAGAAAGTATAAAAAATATTAAAAGCTAGTTTACCCTTGTAAAGTAATATAGCTTCAAAACTGTGCTATTTTTTTGTCTTCTCTCACATAATTCTTCTCTAGTTTGTAAATACCCACTATAAAAAGTAGATCACTAGGTGCGCTGAGTTGAGAGCTTTCACCAAAATGCATGTGCAAAGGGCTGGTGCATTATGAACGTAACAGAGAAAATCAGGAAAAACTGTTTTATGAATAGGTAGATCATATTAATTTAACAGTTCTCTTTTTTTATAATTTACTTTTGTTCAAAAAAAAAAGTTTATTTTTTATATAACATTATTAATTTTATTATTAATATTGAATTATTTAATACATCTTTAATTATCTACATTTAGAACTATTATTTTTGTTTTTTTTGCTTTTATATAATGGTTATATTATCGATCCCAAATTCATTTGGAATTTCATAATTTTTTATTTATTTATTTTTATTTTTTTTATAAAAGTGGGTATATAATGATATTAATAATTTTTTAAATATTATTTTTTAGCAGTTAGGAGCTGAGTATATGAGAAGTATTTATAATAATTTTCTTGGGTTTGTTAGAACTAAAAAGCTGACCAATTCAGCTAAGGCATCCAAAGCAACCTTTGAAAACCCAAGCCGTGTGATTGTATACTGCAGTATATATAATTGTATACTCTTACCACAACAAATAATATATAATAATTGAATATAATAGTTGTGATACAAACTTTAGTTTTTAAGATCACTCTGGATGCCTCAATTCAGCAGAATTAATAGCAGAAATATATTATAGCTGTTTTCATAAATTTTGAAAAATCTGACAAAAGTTGACCGATGAATATTTGCCAATTCGATAAGCTTTGATAAACTTTTGATTCAGATATAATTACATTTGAATCAAAAGTTTATTAAAGCTTATCAAATCATTATGCCAGATTTTCCAGAATTTATAAAAAAGTTATAATAATTGAATTATAAGCCTGACTTAAAACCGATTTATGTAACAATAAATTTCTTCCGTATTACTTAAAAATACAAGCACAGATCTAATAAAACAATTAAAATTATTTTAATTTTTTTTATTTTATAAATAATGTTTAAATTATACAATTTTTAAATAAAATTAAAAATACACTCTATACAAATAGATCTCTTGTTTAAACATTATAACTAGCTGACAAAACTTGAACAAATCTCAAACCCAAAAAAGCGATTTTGCAAATATATACCATTGACTACTGCATACAATATTCAGGATCTTATTCAAGAAGTTTATTTTAAAATTAAATAATATTTGTGGGTACTGTGAAAAACTGAGTACTATTCTTGGGATATATCATATTAAAAGTAATAAATTAATATAGTTATATCCCTGGGTCTTATTTAATAAACAAGCTGGTAGAGGATATTGTATGCAACAATCAATAGTACTATTTGTTTAAGTAAAGATTATTAATAAAGCTTTTAAGATATTAATTTGGCCACACTAAATTGGTCAGGATTTGGAAGGCAAGTATAATTATGACTACATTTTTTAAATGTAAAGTACATATCTTCTTACAAGTTATACTTAAAAACTGATTCTTTTTAACGTTTCTTAAAGTTCATAGTTTTGGGTAAGTAAGCGAGGTTTTACTTAAAAAGCTTCAAAGCAAGAAGGATCTGTTGCATTGCAAGTACTATATACGTATATACAAAAATAGAACGAAAGGCTATTTATGAAGGTGTGATTCTTCTCAGCTTTATTATTTTTTTCCAGTTAAAACACAAATTCACAAAGTATTTGTATAGCTAAGCAGTTATACCTAGTATTATGAGTGCAG